GGGGGGGGTGCAGTAAGGATAACAACAAAGAAGAGGAGGGGAGGGATGGAAGGATGAAACAAAGCCAAGGGAGAAAAGGAGAGAACACAACCTGGGAAGGTAAAATTTGGGGTAGCATTATAGAGAAAAACGCCAAACAGTGGCTAGCATGTTAGGAACTTTGGATTGCCGGCAAAATTGAGTAAGTTTTGGTGAAGGCAACACACCTTGTGTTTGGCAAATTCTTTAGAGCGTTGGCAATGAATCCCCGATACAGGCCTTGGACCCCGTCTCTGGCAATAATACCTACCACCATGGAACGGTCCAGTACGCAAATCACTCTGAAGCTGAGTCATTCCTGTCAATATCATTAACTGGAGTGTGAATCATAAACTCCAGAAACTCCACAGTATTTCAGCCATTCAGGACAAGCCCACTGACCAGCTGGACAGGAGTTCAAACTTGCCATGACTTACATCCAACTGGCACCTTTCCATGGTTCAAAAAACAATCAATTTGACAACAACGGCCGGGAACAAGGGTGGAGGCATTTGTTTGCGACTTCGGATAAGAGTTGTTTATGCCTCATCCACCACACGCCCCATCGGATTTCCGATTTCAGGACTTGCTGGTTTATCAATGTAGCAGCTATGAGGATGTCAGATGGCAGAGAGTTCAATCATTTTCTTTTGTTTTCTTTACACACACCAAACAGCCACAGCCCCGTCTAATTGGGGAAGCAACAGTCCGGTTGCTTATCACTGGCAAGCATGGAAACGAAAGGAGAGAGTGCAAGAAGAACCAGGCCCACCTGGGGCTTCTAAGGGCCACAGTCCGGATCACACCGCCGATCCGAATCACAAGGAAAAGGAAGGAGGGGAGCGAACAATAAGCAGGGGACCGCACGGGTACCAAGCCTTTATTTGTCATTTTCCAGATGCAGGCCGACCATGGGAGCCAGGGCCCTGTTTAACCTGACAGTGCCACTTTCAATCCAATACTACCACCTAATTGTACCTCCCCGTACAAAACCTTGCTAAGTGTTTGCAGCAAAACAGCCTTCCTGGTGTCACAGGTGCCAGCAGAACTAGCAGACAGTAACATAGATTATAGTGTCTCACACACTTTTTCTATGTTCCACCTGAAACTACAAAGTATCCACAGTATCCAAGTTACTGGCAGCTCTAACACCCATAGACAAACACACATTCAGAGACAAGTGTAATGACCCGCCATAAAACAGACTGAGAACACTGCTGATTTCTGAAGTTCTGCCGATGGAATGAATGCCTTGCTGAGATTCCCGCATTCTGCTGTGTTTTCTAAGTCTGTATGTGTGCGTGCCTGTTGACTTGCGTGCCTGTCTGAGTGCTGGTCGACATGAGCGTGTGTGTGACCCTCAAGGGTACTTGCTTGTTTGGCAGGCCCGTAGGGCCGGTACTTACCTGTGGCCGTGGCATTGAGGGTTGCAGCAGGGGAAAACACTCAAGTAGCGGAGCCAGGGGCCCGCGGCACCTGGAGCAGCGGAAAAACACTCAAGTAGCAGGTAGGCCAGTACCACACCCAGTAGCAGTAGATGTGCCGGGTACTCGAGGCCGAGCAGAAGAAGACAAAGTTGGCATTTTTAGAGGCCCAGTAGCGGTAGGCTAGGTCTAGGCCGTACCAGTCCATTCAGTCTGAGTCTAGAGCCTGTATGGGCAATATCAGAGTCTGCAATGATGTTTCCCTCCGAAAGGGAGGAGGTACCGGTTGCTTGGGAGGCCGAGCGGCCTGGAAGTCACCGCCCAAGAGGGAAGCAGGCCGCTATATCAAGAGGCCGAGGCAAGAGCTCGGCCTCATTCTTCAGTGTGCAAGTTTGGCGACACGCTGCTGGAGCGCTGGCTGGAGTGGCGCTGGGTACTACAGCGCTACTGGGAGGAAGAAGCCGGGAGCTTCCACGTTGGCTATGGTGGAGCTCTACCGGTAGGAGGAGGAGGGAGAAGGGGACCAAGGAGAAGAGTGGTGGGATACTTACCTGGTTATGGTAGACACCATCTTCATCACCTTGTTAGGCACTGCATCTGGAAGGCCCCAGTCGGGGTAGTGCCGCATCAAGGAAGCTCGGGACAGAGTCAGGCATGGCGGTTAGCTGCATTGAGTTGACCTGGGGACAGAAGGGCAGCGACATAGCTTCTTTGGGTTGTCCTTTGGACACGAGGGAGAGCCCTCAGTACTCCGCCAAAGCCTCGGCCTGTACGTAGAGGAAGAGGAAGGGTGGCCATGGCTATGGTGGACCTCCTGTTGTGCCTGCAGTAGAAGTGGGATTCGGACATTGATTCTGGTTCAGCCATTCAACATTATTATTGTCATTTCTTGTTTGAATAAGAGGGGAGGAGATAAGGAGGAGGAGATTGGTTGGCGAAGAAGAAGAGCCTTGTCATTGGTCTATGCTGGAGTACATCATCTTCTTCTTCTTTCTTACTTCTTCTTCTTCTTCTTTCCCTCTCTCTCCTCTCAAGTTCATTCATTTCTTTTTGCAATTGGACGGCATTGTATTTTCTGATGAATGTATACTTTGAAATTGGCCAGGATCGTAACACAAGAACAAAAAAAACAAACTGTAACGATCCTGGCCAGTTTCGAAGTGCAAAATCACGAGAAAGTACAATGCCGTCCAATTGCGAAAAGAAATGAACGAACTTGAGAGGAGACAGAGGCAAAGAAGAAGACGAAGGAGAAAGAAAGAAGAAGAAGAAGAAGAAGAAGAAGAAGAAGAAGAAGCACACCAGCAAAGACCAATCATAATCCCCCTTCTCCTCGCCAGCCAAACTCCTCCTTTTCTCCTCCCCTCTTATTCAAACAATGAATAATAATAATGATGATAATGGATGGCAGACCCAGACTCAATATCCGAATCCCTCTTCTACTGCCGAGAGACGGTTAACGGAGGCCTCAATTTTCAGACCACTTGTCAGGCCATTTATAACAAAACCCAAGGGTCATTTTAACCAAACCCCAACAAACACCAAACTTGGCACACACAGACCTTGACCAAAAATAAAACAGGGAAAAAGAAAAAAAACAGAAAAAAATTCAAAACAATGATCTCCAATGCACTTTTCAGAGTTGAAGAGGTTAACGAGGGCTGAAAAGTGGGGGTCCCTGTTAACCGCTTATGGCTCTACCCCGACGGGACCTTCCAGATGCAGCGCCCACCAACCTGATGAAGATGGCGTCCACCACAGCCAGGTAAGTACCCCTGGCTCTCTCGTACCCTAGTCCCCTTCTTCCTCCTCCTCCATCCCGAGCTCCTCCACCATAGCCACTTCTTCCCCAGCGTTGGACTCAGCAGCGCTCCAACCAGTGCTCCAGCAGCATGTTGCCAAACTTGCATGCAGCAAATGAGGAGGAGCACTTCGCTCCTCCTGGAGATATAGCGGCCAACTTGCCTCTTGGGCGGTGACTTCCAGGTCTCGCGGCCTCCAAGCAACCGGTACCTCCTCCCTTTGGGAGGGAAGCATCATTGCAGACTCTGATATCGCCGGTACAGGCCTGAGACTCAGACTACTTGGACTGGTACCTGCCTAGACCTAGCCTACAACTACTGCGCCTCGAAAAATGCCAACCTTTTGTCCTCTTCTGCTCGGCCTCCAGTCCCCGACACATCTACCACTACTTGAGTGGTACCGGCCTACCTGCTACTTGAGTGTTTTTCCTGCTGCTCTTAAGTGTTGGACCTACTCCTGCTACTTGAGTGTTTTCCCCGCTGCAACCCTCAATGTCACATGTAAGTACCGGCCCTGCGGGGACTTCCAAGCAAGCAAGTACCCTTGCAGGTCACACACACACTCAAGCCGACAAGCACTCAGACAGGCAGGCAGACCTGCAAGTACGCACACGCACAAACATAGAAAAAACTCAGCAGAAAGCGGGAATCTCAGCAAGGCATTCATTCTAGCAGCAAAACTCAGAAATCAGTTGTGTTACCAGTCCGTGTTTGGGCAGGTCCTTACACTACCCCCCCCCTCAAGAGCAATGTCCCTTCGACCGAGCAACTCAATCTGAGTCCCTGACAAACACATCATAACCGAACACAACGAAGAGATTCCGCGCATACTCAGTAGCAGTGAGTTTTGCAGAGATTTTTGGAACAACACCGGAAGCTATCTGTCGCTCATATGCTTTGACAACGCGAGGTGCGCTCCGCAGCAGCTCTTTCTTTGAGATCCAGTAGAGATCGTCCAATGGGTGATACATGAAATGAACCTGGTACTGTTTGTTATGCCCCTCACCAGTAAGACTTGTAATTCTGTCTGTCTCGGGACCACTGCAAACAGACTCGTTCTCAAACACACTTTTCATGCATGTAAACAGCAACGCAGCATACTGGCGACATGCGCCCACTCAAAACTCAGAGAAATGGCTTTCAGACACGAGTTCACTCTCAATTGGCTATGGCGACTTCAGCGCCYAAACATCTCACTGTTCACATACACTGGATCACCCTGGATATCCCACACGCATCACTCTAACACTCGAACACACACACACACACTCACTACTAACTACCGCTATGGCAGCTATCGCTGCATCTAACCTATCGCTAGACTAACTCCCTCTCTCTTGCCCACTGCGTCCTCCGGGCTCATCTGCAGACCTCCTTGCACAAGTCGYTGTGGCAGCGCTTCCGCATGGCTCACGCAGGGATGAATGAATGGCTGGGCRCTGCCTCTTGATTTATACTTCAGAAACTCGTTGGTCTGCCCTTT